TTTTTTTTTTTCCTGAGTTGTGCTAGCAGAATTTGTGACAACTAACTGAATTTTCAGTTCTTCATTATTCAGATAGTCAATGGTGTCTTCAGATCACTATTAAGTAAAGCATTAGAAATACACACATGCAACAATATTTATACCTCATATTTTCAGCTGTAGAAATCCTTTGTAAAGGAAAGGATGCATTTTCAAAAAAGCTGTGTTATAAAATTTCCTCCTTTACAGAGTTACATGACAATACAAGAAGTTCATTTGCTACAGGCAATGGGAAGGAAAACCCCAATGTATTAGGAACTGTAGGCAAAAGCTGGCGGATGTTAGAAATGCTTCAGTTCTTTTTAACTCACTTAAGAGATCTCTTGTGTCATGCCATGAAACATTTCTAGTTTTCAAATGAGTCTGCCAAGTATGTCAACTTGACTTAAATATATAGATATTGCTGAGACTTCAAAGTGCTTCCTGGGGATGCTGCTGAAAAACAATCCAAAGGATGGGCAGCTGCTTAGGAATCTGTGAGCCAAAGGAGTAGAGAGGAAAATGAAGCAGCGCTGTCTGCTGCCCTCCTCCAAATTAGAGATGCTTCAGAAGAATGACTTGGGGACCTGAAAGGGGGACACCTGCTCATTGAAACCTCTCTCAGCCTCGTAAAACCCCCCAAATATTTTCTGCATATAACCAACACTTCCAGAGAGTTTGGAAAAATGCTTCAAAGCATGGCAGCAGCTGTAATCACAAATTATATCCACTGTGCTATGTGTGTGCCACCAGGAGGTTGCCAGGCTCTGTGAGACCACTGGCTGGAGCTGATTTTTCTAATAGATTAATCTCTTCTGTAGTGACAAGAGACAGAAAGGGTGTTCTCTGTTAGGACTGGATGTGTAAAGTGATGATTTATGAGCTGAGCTACTGTGACAATCCCACCAGAAGTGCCTATCTGTTCTCCCAAATTAACCACACAAATGCACATCTTCTCCTGCCTTGGAAGAACCATTTCTGCTCTGATTTGGTTCCATTTAGTAATATTAAATCTGGCACACGTTTTGCTCATCAGTACCTTGAGCCTCTCTGCCTCATATGTCTGAAGAGAAATATGTTCTGTTCACCTTGGTAAGCATGAGTTCTGTGGAAGAAGGTATTACATTAAAAACCAGAGCTAGGTCCATTCACACATGAATGACTACAAGCTGCCATTTCAAATGCAGTTAATGTCAGTCCTCCTTTGAGCCATACTTTTTAAATTATTAATTGGAAATTCTGCATGCCAAAATCATGAAATAATAAAATTAAATTAGCCTGATGACATAAGTGTTCTGCAGGAAATCTCATTCCATATGTGAGAGGACAACCCTACATTTTTTTCACTGTTTGCAGAGATACCAGTTCTTTTTCTCACCCCTCCCCTTTCAAACTGTTTATTAGGCAAGTTTAATTTAGGAAGTAAATTTGGGAAAGACAGTAGTTATTTTAAACATATGATTTCAGACACTGTTCACAGTCTGCAAGAGCTCAGCCCATGAGAGGGCTGCCCAAGAGCACAGGGTCCAAAACTGCTCCCTCAGATCTCTATCATTCATCTGTTGCAATGATTCTCACCATACTAAGTATCCTCAAAAATTAGTCTTTATAAAACTGTTAAGCAGCCACCCACATAAATGAGAGCTTTCAAGAGCTGCAATTAACACACACAAAATAAAAGTAACAATTTAACTTGTAAATGTTATAAATCCAGAATAAAGGCACTCCCTAGTCCAAGATAAACAGCCCTGCTCTTGATTCTGAAGAATGTTGATGCTGTTCTGCCATCTGTACCACGTTTTTGCCTTCTAGCTAACTGCATGCCCAACATGGAATGAGCTGCACCACCAAACTGTCTGTATTTAATAAAAAAAAAGTCTACATGGTTTACTAAAACTGCTTATTTTGCTTGGCAAGGCTTTTTTTTCCCTGAAAAAACCTACAAATTAAATTCATCACCAAAGCAATTTTACTTGCCATTTTGTTTATGCCTTGTGTAAACCTTTGTTTTGCAGATCCCAGATAACTTAAATGCAACCACTAAAGTTTGAAACTAGATTATGAGACAGAAGCATTTCTGCTGCTGAATTTCAAGTCAAATCAACCTTTTCCACTGAGGCAAGCCTTCACTCAGAGCTGTAACTTGGTGTACACTCATCTCTTCCCAAATGCTGTAGCTTCTGCCCCCCTTTTCTCATAATATGCCATAGAGAAACAAATCAGTAAATTTTAGATAAATTTTTAACATTTAAAAATCCATTTTATCATTCATTTTGATACACTTTTTCCAGATAAATAAAGATAGTTTTGATCCCGGACAGTAAAATCAGTGCAAAGAGGCCCCAAAACACAGGAAAGGGTTTCACTGAAGCTTTTGAGAAGAGCATGAGCTGCTTTGGTTGTTTCATGTAAAACAATTGAGGTCACAGACAATCCCAAGGCAGCCATGCCTTCTGAGCATCGCTGAAGTGGAAAGATAAGGAAAATATTTTTAGAGATGAGAGGGGAACTTTTACATTGTTGAGCTTTGTTTATACATTTTTACATGCAGACTTGCTCCCTTCTTTATCCTACATCTGTGCTACCAATCTAATTCTTCAGATTGGCTGTTAGTTTTCCAGAAGGTAATTTTGGAGAACAACTACAAGCAATCCTGTTTACAGATGATGGAAAAGGGATTCATGTTGAAACACTGACCTCAGAATCTTCCTCTGAATTACAGCTCTTCAGAATAGACTCTGCACATACAAGCTGCTGTTCCCAGGCTCAGGACACACTGGTTTTCAGTTGGCACTGCACATCCTTGAGACTGCAGCAGTTTAAGCAGGCTCTTGTGCTGTCATAGCAGCTTGCCTTTGATATTTAGTACTTTCCAAAGTTTGTGCCACTTGAAGACACTCCCAGCAGGTAGTTTCCCTCACGAGGGAACGCCTCGAATCCTGGGTTCAGTTTTGGGCCCCTCACTCCAAGAAGGACCTTAAGGGGCTGGAGTGTGGCCAGAGAAGGGCACTAAAGCTGGGCAAGGGTCTAGAGCCCATGTGTGGTGAGGAGCAGCTGAGGGACCTGGGGATGTGGAGCCTGGAGCAAAGGAGGCTCAGGGGAGACCTCCTGGCTCTCCACAACTCCCTGACAGGAGGCTGGAGCCAGGTGGGAGTTGGCCTCTTCTCCCAAGGAAGAAGTAATAAGACAAAAGGAAATGGCCTCAAGTTGCACTAGAGGAGGTTTAGGTTGGACCTGAGGAACAATTTCCTCCCTGCAAGCGTTGTCCAGGCCTGTCCCAGGCCGCCCAGGGCAGTGGTGGTGTCCCCATCCCAGGAGGGGTTTAAAAGCTGTGCAGATGTGGTGCTGAGGGACATGGTTGAGTGGTGATTCGGCAGTGCTGGGTTCATGGTTGGGCTTGATGACCTTGTAGGCCTCTTCCATCCAAAATGATCCGAATGGCATTTGGTATGTAAACATATTTCCATTCTCAAAGATTTTTGAGGAACCCTCTCTTACCTGTATTAGGGTCTTTCACTACAATGTCAGAGATCTCGAAGAGTTTGAGAGGCAAGGGCATCTTCCGGTTAGCAGCAATGGTTTTCAGCAGCCCAGGCAGGAGGGTTGTACGTGCCACCTGCAGGAGAAACAGCAATGCTGCAAGTCAAATACCTTCCAAAAGGGCTAATGGTCATTTTCCTCATTTTTTTTTTTTGGCATGCTCATTTGTAACAAGAGTTTGAAAGTGTCCAGGTGCAAGTACTGCATTTATCTCTTACGTTTAAGTATCACTGCTTTAGAATTATTAAACTTGAAAATGTCCATTCTCTGCATGTTCTTTGTATTTTCTCAAAGAGCAGGCATCATTTCACAGATGCTTTAAAGACATGACCTGTGCCTATGTTTCCCTCAGAACTGGCCCTGAAGTCTCTCACCTGAAATTCTGCAGTTTTGGGGTTTGCTATGCGCACTGCTTTTGTTGCAGAGATGTCCACACCAAGTTTATCTGCAATGTCTTCTTGAGAACACTAAAAGGAAAAGATAAAAAAAAAACACCAAGGTCAAGTATTTAAAATAGCAAGCCAGTGATGAAACCCAATATCAAGAATGAACAATGCAATTGTGGCACTTGCTCTAAGGCCCCATAATAGATGCTCTCCTGTGTGACACTCAGAATAAAAATTAAGCCCCAATCTTAAGACTAAGTCGGCAAACTGGTTTATCCAAAAATGTTAATTACCACCCAAAATAGAGATAGTTTAAAAAAGTGTCTATTTAGGTTTCTGTCATGGATTGCTGTTGTCTGTTTTGAAAACACAAGCTCAGATTCTGCCCCAACTTGCAGTGGGTAAAGTATTTTATTCTGAAAATAGCACTTGTAAAGGAACTGGTACCCTAACCTTCTCACAAAGAAAACAGTCACCTGGGGGCTACGTTCAGTAAGGAAAGTACTGCCTATGAAAAACAGGTCAGATAGCCAAGCCCCTGACTTCCACAGCTGCACAGGTTTCTCATTGCTCATGGCTGGGTTTGGGTTTCTTTTTGAGTTGGAATACTTTAAAAGCCCTTATTCTCCAGGTGTATTTTTCAGCTGGTCTGTAAAGCAATACATGTGCACTGTACCAGGCTCAGATATGTCTGTGCCCACACAGCAACAGATGCTGCTGCTAAGACCCACACTACAGATTCCCAGAATTTATAGCTTTATTAATGTAGTAAAGAAACCAACATCAGCCTAGGCATGTAATTGTGGATTTGCTTGTATGCTGCAGTCCCTTTGCACTGGCAGTGCTCTGAGAAGTGTGTTGATAGACCAGATGTGAGGAAAAGGAGCAGATGATACCATCTGAAAGAGCAGATTATTGAGTAATAATAAAAAAAATCTTAAACGAATACTGACCACAGGAGGAGAGAACTGTGTTAAACAGTTATCAGATGTGTATCCAAACTCTACTGTATTCCTGTGACTTAACTAAATGCTTTTTGGCTCATTTGGAGCCAATGGTATTTGTCATAGTCATAGGCCTCACACTAGTGTTTTCATGCTGCTGGTGACACAGCAGACTATGGATTTCATCCTGCCACAGCAGAACTACAAATATGATAAGAAGACAGACTGCATGATCTTCCAAAATTTGGTGAGGCACTGGCCCGGGCTGCCCAGGGAGGTGGTGGACTCCCCATCCCTGGAGGGGTTCAAAAAGCCTGTAGATGTGGTACTCTGGAACACGGTTTAGTGGTCATGGTAGTGTTGGGTGATGGTTTGACTCGATGATCTTAGAGGTCTTTTCCAACTTTAATGACTCTATCATTCTGTGAAATTCTGCTGTTGAAGTTAATAAAGGTTCTCAGGTGTACTGATATAATATATTCAGTGTTTTTAAACATATTACCTATTCAGTGCTGAAAATTAAGTATTTTGAAAGCCCAAATTCTCAAGGTGTTCTTCCATGGAAAAAAAAACCCACTTGTGGTGAAACTTCCAGAGGAATTTGGGTCCCCTTAGTGTGCTTTCTCATTTTTTTACACGTAGTCTTAAAATATGCCCTTTGCTGCATAACTATTTATTAGGCATCTAAGGCAGAGAATCATGGGGAAGTGACAAGAATAAAAAGAAATATAGAAACAGAGTAATCTCAAAAGTGTAGTAATAGACACCAGAAAGTACTAAGTATCTGTTTATTTTCTGGATTATCAAACTGTGATTCATTTCACATCTGGTGACCAAAGTCTCCAGAGGGACGTGCTGTCTTGCAATCATCCTGTCGAGTTAAACTAAACCCAGGACTCCAGCAGCCATTTTTGTCTCTAATCTTAGAAATACATGCCACATAAACAGCCACTCATTTGAGTTCTCTAACCTACAAACTCACAAAATATTATATTAGCATTTCAAAGCACTAGGAAACAATCACCTGCCAAAACAGTAACGGATAATACTGGGACACTCATGCAGCACCATACCCCCAGACCATCCTCTGCAGTTTTGGCTGCATTGCTGTTCTAACACGCAACTAATAAAAATGGGAAATAAATACAATATAATATACCAGAGCAAAAGTGAGTGCTTCAGTGAATCCAGCAGCTGCCAAGTCCAGCCTCAGGAGTTCTGTGAGCTTATTGAGAGGGAGCTGAAATGAAACAGAAAAAGTTCTCAGCTTCCATCTAACACCATTTTTCTATTCTTTCCTGAGGTGACTCTGCCACTAGGGAGGTACTCGGCTTGTGTGCTTAAAATTTTCAAAAGCATCAGCCAGCTGCCTTTAGGCTTGCCTCAGGAAATGAATCTCCCAATTAGAGATTTAATACGGGCTCCCTACTTAAACCTTGCCTTTTTTCAAATACCAGCAACCACTGATCTTGGACTTATTCAAATCAGCGGGGCATCTGTTTTGTATCCTACCCATGGTAAATACTTCTCGAGGCAAAGCATGTCAAAATATTTAATTCCTAGGTTCTGTTTTCCCCAAAGCCCTTCTGGCATGCACTAGTCATTTACTGACAACAGAGCGTTCATTTGAAGGGGCAATCTTACCTGATTAGCTATGGTGTATGTTTTTGGAATAGTCATCTGAATGTTGTTATAGCCGTAAGCGATTGCTGCATCTTCGACGATGTCACACGCGTGGATAACGTCGGCTCTGGTAGGAGGGATCTCAATCTCTAGGCTGGTCCCATTCCCTGTGACGTGTGAGCTCAAACACATCCTGGTCAGCAGTTTTGCAAGGCTCGATGGAGTTTCACTGAAACAAAACAAGAGAGTAGTAATTTATGCATCTTGGGTTTTATCCCCCGGCTTTTTAGAGGAATCGGTGTTTCTGCGGCCTTGCCTTCCACCCTGGAGAATCTCCAAGTGCTTTAAGGCCTCAGCATTCCATCAGAACCACCTTGGGTTCTGGCTCTGGAAACTGTCCCACTTTCTTACTTCACATAACAGTCCTGTGAGGCCATAAAGAATCATTCACTTTCCTTGAAAACAAGGGGAAAAGTCTTACGGAGCTGACCTAATCACCCAAGATAACCCCTGAAGTTTGGATAAATTAAAAAAAAAATAAAAATTGCAGAGCATAAACATTTTTAAAACAGTGCAATAATCCATGTGTTCTAGTGCCTTTTTCACTATTCATGAAAACTACGTTTTCATTTGCAATAACATACCTGATTCCCAATTTCTTGTTAATGAGTTCAGGTTTCACCTTTTCTTTTCGGTAAGCCAGCTCCTAAAAAGACAAAACTTTTAAGCATACATGGTGCCCACTATTTCTCCCTAAAAGGATTCAATTTTGATATCTTAAATCTAGTTTCTTCTAATTACAATACTAAAGAAGACAAGTGTAGAATACTAGTCTAGAATTAATATTTTAAGATAACATTTTTCTTGAAAATACACATGATTTAAAAGCTGTTCAAGGCTGAAGGCAGCATGAAATTCCTAGTATTGAAACTTCTGGTAAGTTCTGATGTATACAAGCAAGAGAGTTGCTGAAAATTTCTAGTCACCAGCTCATCCTAAGGCAAAACCCTTAAGCAGTGAGTGGTCATGCATGAGATCTCATGGTCTAGTGCAGATCAAATGACTTTTAGGAGGAAAAGAAAACTTCCTAGTTGCGTATTGGCACAGAAATATCTACTGGTGTTTTACTTATGAAGTTTGCAACCTATTTATGGAAGTTATTTCGTACATACTTACATAGGTGTTTCTAAACTTATATATATATATCTCCTTAAAAACCTTAGCATCTAAAACATTGGGGATTTTTTTCTCTGTTTAATGTAAGAAAGCTGCTTTGGTTACTGCAAAGATTGCAGTGTTGTTGGCTAACTCTTCAGGATTCTAGGTGTTTCCTCTGTTGATTAAAGCTGACGTTGCTAAATGAAAAACCTAAAATACCACTAGAAAAACTCCCAGTAAAAATAAGTTTTTTTCCCTCTAAACAGTTTGTACTTGCTTGATAGGTCTGATTTTATGAACTCAACCACATCTCTGGTTACTTTCAGGAAACAGGAGGAATTTCTTAATAAGAGAACAAAGAGTAAGCCTCTGTTCTTGCAAAGAGGTCTGAATGCAGGCAAACCTGCACGTGAAGTCCACATCCTGCTTCACAGACCTTTCTGGGGTTGGAGGCTACCAAGTGAAAGACTGAAAAAACCAGTCACAAGGTTATTTTAACTGAGGGGCGTTAAAGCTTCCAGATCTGATAAGTAAGTTATGCTGAGGCTGATTTCAGTTGTCCACTGGCTTAAGGACTTCCTGCATTCATTTTTCCTGTTTTGGAACACATAGGTTTTAAAGTTTTTAGACAGAGATTATGACCTTTGATGGCAATCTTTACTTGTTCCTGTAAATGTTCATATCCCATGGACTCTGAACCACAACAGTGGTTACTGCTCGTAACTTTAAACCCTGCCCTTCTTTTTGAAGCCTCAGGCTATGTCAGTGAGACTGTATTTGTAGCTTTGTCATAAATTAGTGGAGCTTCAGAATGAATTTCCTAGGTAAGAGGAGGCTGGATTTATTTTTTTTTGGGCTACAGAAGGTTCTGACTCACTAATATACAGACCTAATACAACCTTCTGCTGCAGAAAAAAGAAGACAATGTCACTCCTCCCAGACTTGGTGTAAATAAAATCCTTTCCCCAAGGACCCTGAGATCACACATCACTATGCTTACCGGGTAGATGTGGGTCTTCCCATTTGGATACACTACTTCTGCTGCTTCAACACTGAGAGACACAAAAACAGGAGTGAAAATGTTTTGAACACATGGCCCAAGTGCAATGTCTCTCTGAGAGGACACTTATACTCACCTGAATGGCTTCTCACAATATTCACTAAACATCGTGACTATAATATCAAGAACAATTTTTGCCTACAAAATAAAGATAACAATCACATTGACATCTGTCATCTACTTGCATTGAAGTAGACAAAATATCTTAATAAAATAGAGGGGAAAAAAAATCTTGTCTTACACTCTCTTAATTCTATTCTAATAACTTTAACCCCAACATCCTAGCAGTCTAGAATACTAGATTGAATTTTTAAAAATGTTTTTCTGCTGCAGACATTTGTCAAAACTTGAAGTCTTTGGTTTTCAAGGTTCTAAGGCATTTGTGTATCTTTGCTAAGCTCTGTTCTGAAGATACACAGGGTCTTTATTACCAGTTGGAGCTGGGTCTTCCCAACCTTCAGTCCAATGAGTGATTTCACTGGAGTTCAAGTGAGAACGTAGAGGCTGATGGACTGTGCATTGTTTAGTAACATGTTATCAAATAACCCCAACTGCAAAATCTTTGGATTTACAGTTAATATTTTAGGAGATTAATATAACAGAATGTAATCTTCAGGTTCAGATCAACTTTCAATCTGCAGGGGTTGTTTTTTTGATGCCTCACAGTTTAATTTCCTTGATATAAACAGAGCAGCACTATTTTTATTTTTACTCCCAAGGCAAGCAGTAGCAAGAAGCAGGTATTTACTAGTTTGCTTAGAAGCCACTCCCCAGCAATTTATTTGTGCTGTTAATCTATCATTGTGTCTCAGGGTAAGTTAAAAGTGTTCTTACTCTTAGGCATCAAGATACACACTTCAGGGAAACTATCAATGAATGCACAACCCGAATTCAAGCACAGGCAATTATAACTGCTCTGTGTTCATGCTTTGCTTCGAGTTATAAAATTTGCATATGGAAAGGCTTTGATTTGACAATTATTTGCACAGCATCCCTGCTTGAAAAAGATAACTAAGAAGAAAAAGTGATGTCTTCCTTCCCTCAGCACAAATTTTAACTAGGAAACAAAACATTTCTTTTCAAAGAGTATTCTGGCAAAACAGGCACGTCTTAGTGAATTTTACTCTTTTTTTTTCAGATTTAGAGAAAGTGCTCAACAACAAAACAAGTCCCTAATTTACTGGAATTATTTTTTTCATACATTACTTTTCATTGACTTAGTGTCAATGTAGAGAAACAGTAAACACCAAATGCAATGCAACTACAACCCTGTCTATAGAGCACGCCCAAGGCTGTGTTGAGGGCACTCCACACTCCTACAACGTATCCCACCCTTTTGAAACGGGAGGTTGGCTTCATAAAATAAGTGCCTGGCCATTGTAGGCTTTTGTAATGGAGTCCTACCACCCAGAAGGGAAAGCAGTGATATTACAGCACATCCCAAGCAGGAGAGATTAATTTACCTTGGTAATATCTGTGCCTGTACATTCAATAAACACATTTCTGGTGTTCAAGCTTATTTTCGTGTGATCACCTAAAACACATGAAGACAAAAAACATGTTAAGAAAGGTTATTGCTTTTTTTTGCAGTGGCACTGATAGTGACTCTATTTGTGATTTAGAAAGATCAGTCACCTTCTGCAACTTAAAAAGCCACTGTCCACTGCACCAACATTCACAACTCTTACCAGAATAGCATCTCTTTTAATATTTAAATTTATGAATTAAAAAGAGAAAGACAGACCAGAGTCACTGACCAGGTTAAGGTTTATACTGAAAGACACACAAAGCTACGAGTATCTCAGTATCCAGTTGAGGAAGCTAACTAGCAGAGTAGTGGCCACCTCCTGGTGGCAGAGTGGTTCTGCACTTCCAAAGCATCTCATCTTCCCTGGCTTTTGATGTGTGAGGTGTGTAAGAAGGCAGCCTTGGACAGGAATGTATGCAATGTTTTTTAAAAAGTGATTTAGATCTATCAATGTCCATAGCTACGTCCATGAGTAATCAAGATCTCTTAATGCTGTCTACTGATACACTATTGGTTTGTCTACGTGACTGATCCAGCTCGTAGTACAGGTTCCTTTTGGGCAGGAATTCTCTTTGCATCTGTCCTTAGAATCAGGAGGTGTGCACTGAAGCATACCACTGTTGCACTCAAAACTCTTTCTCATCTGGAAGAAGTTAAGTAGAACATACACTTGGGGGCATCACCTGAAGTGTCTCTCTTGCAGATTGGATGCAAATCCCCCAGTAGCTGGCTTCCAACTACTTGTCCACTTCTGGCCTCCCAGCAGAGGGGTTCCAGCCCTCACATCATCTCCGTGGCCTCCTCTGGCCCCGCTCCAGCAGGTCCCTGTGTCTGCTGTGCTGAGGACTCCAGAGCTGCCCCAGCCCTGCTGGGGGGTCTCCCCAGACCGGGTCAGAGGGGCAGGATCCCCTCCCTGCCCTGCTGCCCACACTGCTGGGGGTGCAGACGAAGCTGCCAGGGGCTTCTGCTCTGTGAGCATACGGGGCCGGCTGGATGTGGAGGATTACCCTAACTCAGGTACAGGACCTTCCACTTGGCCTTGCTGACTCTCATGAGGTTCACAGGGGTCCACTTGCCAAGCTTGTCCAGGTCCCTCTGGATGACATTCCAGGGGGATGTCATTGTATAAGGATCACGCCAAATCCATGTCCTCCTCACCTTTCACTGACCATTCACCACTGCAGGTGCACCTCACAGCAGGCAAAGGGAAGCACATGCTTGGATACACATGGACATTCTTCCTTCCACTGACCCTGAGCAAATCATTCAGCTTCTGTGGTTTAGTTTCCTACCTGGAAAACTGTGTCACAGCTCAACTAGAAGTGAGGTGTGCTGAAGCCCTCAAGACTGAGGGATCTTGTATTCCCTTCCCTGGGATGCTCTCCTGTACCTCTCTGTAGATGCAATGTAGTCAGCATTTCTGGCCTCATTTCAAAACAAATATAACCTTTCACTTAAGTGCTTGTAGATAATCCCCAAAAACCAATACAGATATTTACATTTCATTATCTAAAAAGGACCTTTACCCTGGAAGCTTCCCTCAAATACTGCTTTTTAAAATAGACACAGGTATTAAATTTGGCTCAAGCTTTTGGACTGCATATTGTTTACATTTTAGCAATGTCTATACACGGAGCACTCTGAAGTTGGAATGAGCCTCACAAAGAAGGATTAGCCACAGTGGCTGATACTATCCTCAGTTCAGAATAGTTGTTCTCTTAAGAAGATTTGGGTTAGCTGTTTAAGATATGGATAAGGTCTATGAGGAAAGTTACTTCTAAAGAGATTATTGCTGCAGATCTTATCAGTCAGAGTAGGG